CTTAAGTGCAAGATCTGTAGCTCGAGCGGTGAAGTCGAATTCTAGAATTTCCAAATTCACCTCCTAGTTTCCAAACTCGAATTCAAAGATGAAATTTATGATCTTTTGGGCCAAAAACTAAGGAAACTGGTACAATCTTGCCAAACGTTCTGAATCCAAAATCATTTCGCAAAATCAAGCTCAACAGTGTTGCTAATTGTGCAAAATCAAACTTAAATTTTTGAAAACAACACATGCATGAATTCACATGACTTTCAACCTTTCAAAACATGATTAAATGGAGTAAAATGATGTGAAATGGGACCAATTGTCAAAACTAGTTTCCAAACTCGAATTCAAAGATGAAATTTATGATCTTTTGGGCCAAAAACTAAGGAAACTAGTACAATCTTGCCAAACGTTCTGAATCCAAAATCATTTCGCAAAATCAAGCTCAACAGTGTTGCTAATTGTGCAAAATCAAACTTAAATTTTTGAAAACAACACATGCATGAATTCACATGACTTTCAACCTTTCAAAACATGATTAAATGGAGTAAAATGATGTGAAATGGGACCAATTGTCAAAACCATGTGAGCATGAACACATGCTTGTGTAAATTCTTGAAAACAACCTCATAACATGGTAAATTGAGCATGCATGCATGATATGACTTACCTTCCTTTGATTCTAGTTCAATTCTCATACATAACTCTATTTCATCCTCTAGAATCCCTATTTTAAGTCTTAATTACACAATTAAGGGCTTGAATCCTTACCTAAACTCTTCAAGTAGACTCTAGATTGCTCAATCTTTAAGCTTCTTAGCCAACTCCTTTCAATTTCCTCAAGCTTTGATCCCTCTCTCTCTCTCTCTCTCTCTCTCTCTCTCACGTTTTTGCTCTCAAGGAGGTGAAAATGAGAGTGAAAAAGTTATCTAAGGCTTACCTTTAGCCTTATATAGGCTCCACTTATTATTCTAGTTTAGCTTAATCAATATTAATCTAATTATTTGATTTCGAATCGAATTTTAATTAAACTTACCATAAAATTCTAAAAATTTCACATAGCACATATACCAAGTCATTTTCGTGATCGGATGCCGATAAGACCTTCAATTCACAGAACCAGACAGAAATGTGAACAGATACTCCTACGATAGACAAATATAAATACAAATAGTGCAACACACATGCAATTAATTCAAAATTTCATCTTGATTACTCATTAAACATCCTTAATCATGGTTTAACGGTTAATCATAGGTTGGGGTTGTTACATTTGCCGAGTAATGCTTGTTGTAACTTATGTGGGCATTGCACTGAATCTACATTACATGTCATTAGGGACTGCTCCTTTGTGAAGGATGTATGGAGAAGCCTTGTTCCTAATCAATTTTTTGGCAACTTTCTCTTGAGACCTATGGTCAATTGGGTAGACGTGAACCTTGGCAAACCTCCGTGGAAGGGGGAGTTTGGTAAAAGGTGGCTACTTGTTTTCTTAGCTACAATTGCTCACGTCTGGTTTTGGCTAAAATTGAGAGTTCATGATCAGGAGGTTCAATGTCCTGTTGATCTGGGGTATACTATTTGGCAGAAGGTAGGTGAGGTTGTTTTAGCGAAGCCAGTGTTGTATCAAAAGGGGCTGCAACCTGGGATTTAAAGGTGGATTTCCCCACCAAGGGATTGGGTTAAATCGAATGTTGATGGTTCCGTTGTTGGAAGCTATGGTAGTGTAGTAGCAGGTGCCTTAATTCAATCTTCAAATGGTATATGGAAGGTTGGGCGTCAACACTATGTTGGTTTGGCACATTGTCTTACAGTTAAATTGTGGGCTTTGAAGTTGGGTTTGCATCTTGCATGGTTGGAAGGATATCGTTTTTTGTTGGTTGAATCCGATTCTTTGAAGAGGGCTCATCTGGTCCTGAATTTAGATGAGGTACATCCTTAGGCTGAGCTGGGAAGGCAAGCTCAAGAGCTTCTGTAGAGGGATTGGTGTTGTGATATAGTGCATATGCCAAGGGATGCCAACAAGTGTATGGACTATCTAGCAAAAATGGCTTTGACCTCTCGCCCATGTAATCAAATTTTCAGAAGTGCGCCAAGGTCAGTGGAGGAGTTGCTTCGGCAGGATTGTCAAGGGATGGGCCCTATAAGTTCGAGTTCTAATTTTGCTTAGTTTGGGTTTAGCCTCCTTCATACATAAGGGTGCTCATGGATCAGTTTTTGACGGTTTGGTTTGGGGTTTGGACCAGTCTACATGTTTGTGGTTTGAAAAAAATTGAACCCATAATCGCTCCGTAGTATGGATTACGATTTGTACGGATAGGATTCGCGAATGTGCCAACAGTTTGCGGATTGAGCTTTTCCTTTAAAAAATTATTTTTGTACTTGTTTTTTCCTAATTTTTAAATATTCCTTTTCGGGCATTTTCCTCCCATTTTTTAAATATTATTTTAGATCATAAAATCACATATTTCTTATCATGAAATCATGATTTTTCAAATGATTTATCCCAAATAAATTACAGTATATTTATCCAATTTACTTCCATAAGGAAACAATGTATAAGCTAAACAATGTATACAAATGCGGAGGGTGAGTGTGGGTGCAGCTAAAACTCGCGACCTACATGCACCCCGCAAAATAAGAAAATCCTAACACATATTTGACTTTAACGATTATGTGAAACCACCTAAATAGATAAGGGTGGTTCGAGTTTAGCGATTTTCACGAGTTGAATAACCTTATGTCTAGCTCTACTCGTGTAAAAAAAAAAAAAGAATGCCCAAATGGATTAAAACATAATAATAATAATAATAATAATAATAATAATAATAAAATTAAAAAACTAATAAGGCTCAATGAATTATTGTCAGAGTGGGATCATGTTTACTATGGTTTGAAGGAGAGAGTGACATATTTCATCAAAAACTTACATTCAATAGCGACAAGCATTCTATTCATTTAATGTACTCAGTTAACTGTATCATGGCCAACTCCCTGTATGTCTTTGTCATTTCTTCTTTTGTGTTTTATACTTTAGGTGTTCTATCATATCTTCTTCGAGCAGTTACAGAATCTTCCCAATTTTGTCTGATGTATTAAAATTTAGGAGTTATTTTTAATTAAGTATATTTTTTTTTGTAAAAAAATTATACAGAAAAATAAAGAGGTGATGTGACTCAAATAAGTACACTTATTTAAACAAGTGCAATTATATCAATCATGCCAAATAATAAAAGAGTACTAAGGGATTATTTGGTATAATTGATATAAATGCACTTATTTAGGTCATATCGCATTATGTTAAATAGCTCTTAGTACTCTTTTGTTATTTGACATGATTGAAACAAGTACACTTATTTAAATAAGTGTACTTCTTTAAGTCATATCATCTATCTACCTTTTTGTATATCTTTTTATAAAATGTCAAAAAAATATTTATTTAAATTATTCCAAACAACCAAGTATATAATTTTCCTAATATGTACACATTTCAAACAATTAATATTAAAATAACTTTTTCACTAAAAGGGTTTTGTGAAGGTCTATCATATGTACCAAAAAAAAGATTATCAAAAGAATCACACTTAACATAAATCTTATCTTCATCCCTTAAATTTTGTGTGGTGTGAAAAACACTTGACATAAATCTTGTATGCATCATTTGAATTTTAAGATTTTTTAATAATTTTTTTTTTGGCACATATGATAGACCTTCACAAAACCCTTTTAGTGAAAAAGCTATTTTAATATTAATTGTTTGAAATGTGTACATACTAGGAAAATTATATACTTGGTTGTTTGAGATAATTTAAATAAGTATATTTTTTAATATCTTGTAAAAAGATATACAAAAAAATTGTTATTTGACATGATTGAAACAAGTACACTTATTTAAATAAGTGTACTTCTTTAAGTCATATCATCTATCTATTTTTTTGTATATCTTTTTACAAGATATTAAAAAATATACTTATTTAAATTATCTCAAACAACCAAGTATATAATTTTCCTAGTATGTACACATTTCAAACAATTAATATTAAAATAGCTTTTTCACTAAAAGGGTTTTGTGAAGGTCTATCATATGTGCCAAAAAAAAAATTATTAAAAAATCTTAAAATTCAAATGATGCATACAAGATTTATGTCAAGTGTTTTTCACACCACACAAAATTTAAGGGATGAAGATAAGATTTATGTTAAGTGTGATTCACACCATACAAAATTTAAAAAATATATTATACTTATTTTTCTTGAGATTTAAAAAAAAATATAATTAATTTTACAATTTTAATCTAATTACATTAACCCCTCTTTTAGTATAAAAACGACTTAACAATAGTGGATAGATAGTAAAATACTATATATATATATATATATATTTTAATAAAAAGAAATAATAATAATATATTTTTTTCATTTATATGATTACAAATTGATTCCACAATCGGGTGATATTTAAGTTTAGCAAATCTAAATTGGGGCAATTGAATCATTTAAATAAGGGGAGTGTTTGTGACCATTAGATTTACTTTTTGATGATGAGGTGTCATCCTCTCCTCAAGCCATAGCAAGATGATGTCACTCACAATTAAATACTCATTAGAAACGGGTAATATTACCTATCATAAAATACATATTATAAAATGTTTTTTAAAATCAATTTAAAAATTAGTGCATAATATATAATAAAATATTACAAATTAATATATATATTTTTTAAGATAGCGTTAATATATTAATATAGTTAGATTATAACTGAAGGCCGTCGTTACTCTATCAACTCGAATCCTTAACCTCCCACTCTAAACCTGAAAATGTAACTATTAAATCATTGGACCATACCCTAATATCTTTTACAAACTAGTTTAATATTAAAAAAAAATTCATAAAATCTTTTCATAATATTTCTTTAATGAGATCTAATATTATTGTTTGAAGCCTGACGTTGGCGTTAGCTCACAGGGAGTCATCAGGAAGACACCATCCACTCCATAAATAAGACCACTGAGGCTGTCAATATGAAGCACACAAACACATAGAAAGAAAGCAAGAAAAAACAGAGAAGCCAATTATGGAGTTTTCAAGCTCAACCATACTCTCATTTCTTGCACTACTGTTCTTATCAATTCCATTCTCTACTTCAAACCCAACTCAAGACAGTTTCTACCAATGTCTTGCCACCAATTCCAATCTCTCTGTCCCACTCTACCCTGCTTTTTACACCCCAAACATCTCTTCCTTCACTTCCCTCCTCCAATCCACTGCCCAAAACCTCAGGTACTTACTCCCTTCTGTCCCAAAACCAGAGCTCATCTTCACTCCCCTCTTGGAATCCCATGTCCAATCTGCTGTTATTTGCTCCAAACAGCTTAACATACACCTCCGAGTCCGAAGTGGAGGCCATGACTATGAAGGCCTCTCTTATGTCTCTCAAATCGAGTCACCATTCATCATCGTGGACCTGTCTAAGCTCCGGTCCATCAGCGTCGACATAGCTGACAACAGTGCCTGGGCTTCAGCAGGTGCTACAATTGGTGAACTTTACTATAGAATTGCAGAGAAGAGCAAAATCCATGGCTTCCCAGCTGGGCTTTGCACGAGTTTAGGCATTGGTGGACACATTACAGGAGGGGCATACGGGTCCATGATGAGAAAATATGGTCTCGGAGCTGACAATGTTCTCGATGCTCGAATCGTCGACGCGAATGGAAACATTCTCGACAGACAATCCATGGGAGAAGATCTTTTTTGGGCAATTAGAGGTGGCGGCGGAGCCAGCTTTGGGATCATTCTTTCTTGGAAAGTAAGGTTGGTTCCTGTCCCGGAAACCGTGACTGTTTTCACGGTTCCCAAGACATTGGAACAAGGCGGCACCAAGATTCTGTACAGGTGGCAACAAGTTGCTGACAAGCTTGATGAAAATCTCTTCATCAGGGTTGTCATAAGTGTCGCCGATGGCTCCACAAAAGGCCAAAAAACAATCAGCACTGCTTATAATGCTCTGTTTCTCGGCGGAGTTGATAGGCTTTTGCAAGTAATGAATCAGAGCTTTCCTGAATTAGGTTTACAGAGTAAAGACTGTGTCGAATTGAGTTGGCTCAAATCGGTGCTTTACATTGCTGGTTACCCGAGCAGTGTACCCCCTGAAGCACTGCTACAAGGGAAATCATCATTCAAGAACTATTTCAAGGCGAAATCTGATTTTGTTAGAGAACCAATTCCTGAAACAGGGCTTGAAGGAATTTGGAAAAGGCTATTGGAAGAAGACAGTCCATTGATGGTTTGGAACCCATATGGTGGAATGATGAGTAAGATTTCAGAGTCCGAAATCCCCTTCCCTCATAGAAATGGGACTATATTTAAAATACAGTACCTAAGTTTATGGGGAGAAGCAGATAAAGACTTGGCACCAAAGCACATAGATTGGATCAGGAAGCTTTACAATTACATGGCTAGTTATGCTTCTACGTTTCCAAGAGAAGCATATGTGAATTACAGAGACCTTGATTTGGGGATCAACAAGAATGGTAGCTCTAATTTCATACAAGCTAGTGCTTGGGGTGCTAGGTATTTCAAGAACAATTTCAATAGGTTGGTGCGAATCAAAACCCAGGTTGATCCAGATAACTTCTTTAGGCATGAACAGAGCATCCCAACTCTTCCAACATCCACAAAGAGAAGGGGTAGAAAATCCCATCATCGTACTAAAAAATCACATGGGTAGAAAGGAAAAGTGTGCTATGTATACGTATGTCGAGAAATATTTCAAAAATAAAATGTTCGTGTAAACTTAAGTTCAGTGTGATATAAGTTATATTTAGAATAATTTTAATATATAGATTTCGTTGTCTAAAATCTTTTCAAAACACTTTCTACGTAGGTAATATTGTTGTGATTGAGATGAATTGTAATGATTTATGTATGACTTTGGTTGAGGGATTTTAATTGCATAAGGTAGTCGCTTTGGTTGGCTTCTTTAAATTAACGGTCCATCTAATCATTGTCCAATTAAATTTTAGATAAAGAATTTTATAAGAAGAATTAGAAATTAAATACATATTTTATATATTTTTTTCACAAATTTCAATATATATATTTGTTAAATATAAAACCACTCATGGTAATTTTATAAGAAGAATTAGAATTTAAATACATATTTTGTATATTTTCTTTACAAATTTCAATATATATATTTGTTAAATATAATCACCACTCATGGGACAATAATTAGAATGAATCTTCTACTATTATTGCCTCCCTTAATGTTGATGTATAAGCAGGCAGATAAGTGCTGCTATACACCCACCATTACATTGGCGCATATAATATGACTTATAACAAAAAAAATTATATGAATATACTTCAAAAAATGTGTATTATACGTCTTTATTTAAAAAATTGTGATATTAATTATGAAATAGATAAATAGGTGTTATAAACACCTTTTTAATTGGTGAATATGATATCACTTATAGTCTTGTTTGTTTGGTGGATTAGGCTGAAGGAGATTATGAGTACGGTATGATTGAGTGAAGGAATTATTAATTTGGTGGTATTAGTTTGGAGATGCATGATAAAGTATGCTTGTTTGTATACTAGTGCGGTGTTATTAGTTTGTTAAGATTAAATTTATAAAATTACTTAAACACCCTCATCGTATAAAAATTAACTTTATTGTTTTTGTAATGTAAGGGCAGTATTGTCTTTTTACACCCAATCCCATGGGATTGGATTAGTAATCTCACCGCTTCTATGGGAAAGCTAATCCCACAATGTGGGGGTATTGATAGTCTCACGAGACTACTAGTTCATTTCTATTTTCGTCAACCAAACATGAGCTATGTAAAGCCCACAGATTCCTAATCCAATCCCCCCACCTATTGAGCCAAACAAACATGACCACAAGAAAAATTATATGACATAAACTTTTCAAAGATGTGTACTATCTATCTAACTTAAAAAATGCGTACTATATCAATAAGTTTAGAAAACCTCCCCAATTTACCTAAAAATTTACCAAATGTCCACATGACAGCTCACTTCAATATGGGGACTGTTTTTATTTAAAAGGAATATATACATATATATACACACACAATAACCTAGCCTTAACATTATGCAATTAATTAAGTTATCAATTTATATTACTTATATAAAGAGAGAACAAATTCATATGAATCTTAATAAGTGATTATTAATAAAACTCATGTCCATAGCTGCCCGCCCCCGCGCGGGGCGCGGGGAGGGGGGGAGTTTCACATAAATAAGTGATTACCAATTAATTAAGTCTCACATAAATAATTTACAAAAAGAATAAATTCATCTTTAAATATCAACATTTTTTTTTCTCTTCTTTTGATTAAAAAATCAATGAATTTGTATCAAGATTTCTAATTCAATTTGTTTGTTTGAGTTTCTCAACCAAAACAAACAAAAAAAAAAAAATCAAAATCAAAATTTCAAAAATTAGTTTGGTAAAAAAAAAAAAAACCAGACATATTTATATTCAATTTGATATGTGCAAATTTATTTATTTTATATATAGATGTGGTCGGATGAAAAAGTTAACATCCAATTAACTTAATTTTTTATAAATATATTTTTTTCAATATTTCTCATAATTTAAACCATTTAAATTAGGACAAATTACATATACCCCTCGAGGTTTAGCAAAATTACAAATACTTCCCTGAGGTTTGAAAAATTACAGATATCTCCATGAAGGTACTATTTGCAAAAAAAAAAAACTCAGGGGACAATTTATTATGAAAATATAAACCTCAGAGGGATATCTGTAATTTCTAAAATCTCAAGAGGTATCTGTAATTTAACTAAATCTCAAAGGAGGTATATATAATTTGTCCTTTAAATTATTAAAATAAAATTTAAAATAAATTCTACATGCCACACAATTGTGCATCACACACAACACAGTAGTGACACCACCTCCACCCATTGCGCACAAATTTTATTCTCTATATATAATAATGCTTCTTAAACTTATAAATATCAAAGATTCAAAGCGATGCCTGTGGCAATCCAACAATAAGTCTGACATGTATGACCATTACATGAATGCGGACAAGGAGAACCACAAAAATCTACCTAAACCAACTAACTCATAATTTAATTGATAAATTTCTGAGTCTGCTTTCTCTCTTTTCCCCCAAATGAGGGTCCGGTTTACAGTTGTTAAGAACATCGCCCAATCCGTACGGTTTAATTTAATATTTTTAAAATTTAAAAATTATTTTACTCAAAGGATCGGATGGAGTTGAGATTTTATACCCACGGATTAAGCTTGGGATGAAAAATTTTACTCCAGCCCATCCCGATCCAGCAATTTATGAAATATTACTCATAATTTTATATTATTTTAATCATAAAAAAAAGTAGAAAAAATTAAAAAAATTTAAAAGTATATATATACTTCTTTCTATGGCTTAAATTGAAACATTTCTTTAAAATTATATTTATTTTACTATTAAATTTTGTTAACATTCTAAATTTAAATAATAAATAAAATAATTTAATATCTATTAAAGATAAAAATAAAAAATAAAAATAATAATTCATATTTATTGAATAAGATGTACGGGCTTGAAATTCAAATTGTTTTTAGAGCTGGGCTTGGGAAGGTTACAAATTTAAAAACAACACATAATTTTTTTAGGGATTTTTACCGGTTGGTCCCAATAATTGAATCTATTACCCATTAGGTCCTAAATTACTATCTCATACACCAAGAAGTCTTGTTATATTTTTTTAATTTCGATTTTACCCCTGTTACCAACTGGTAAAAATTCCTATTTAAATCATCTCAAATACTTTCTAAATCTTTAATTGTTTATTACTCATTAATTTTTTCAATTTGCATTAACTTCTCTCTTGATCATTTTTCCAAAACTCTTCTTCTTCTTCTTCTTCTTCTTCTTCTTCTCTCTCTCTCTCTCTCTCTTTCTCTCTCTCCAGAAAATATCACCATTGTAGCTATGGTCATGGCTATCTACCCACAACCACCATCATTGCCCATCACTAACCACTGCCACCTCCACCGGTCACTGCCACCACCGTTGTTCACCAACTATCTCCACCGTCGCCAATCTATAATTCGCCATCTCTCAACCGTTTGACTCACTCGTTGTAGACCGCCCCGAATTCGCTTCGCGTGCGAGGGCGCGAATTGGGTTCTAGCTACTACAGTTCAGACTCTTGTCATGGTTCTAAATCTAATCTTACAAAGTGCAATGCAAGACTGATAAATCACCAAAGGGTCTAAATCCGACAAATTGTTTTGAAAAATTGATTTTAATCAAAAAGCGCCAAACATGGACTGTTTTTCTAGATTTTAAAGTCGCCGCCTAAATATTTTGTTTTGAAAAATTTAGAAAATCCTGACTCGTACCTAAGGCCACGTGTCCGTTATCACAAAAGTTGCCTCGGCTTGGGAACTTGGGTACGAGGAGGGAAGGTCATGAAATGAGCACTCCCGTTCGCTCAATCAAAGGATCGGCCTTTACTAACATGATATGTTGTTTTTGAAAATACATATGTTCTTATTCCGGTTATTAATCTAGCTTACTATCTGATACGCACATCATACAAGTATAGACTCAGTCACGAGAATTGGAACAAAACAACTCATGTTTGTTTTGAAAAATGGTTTGAAAGTGCTACTCGCAAGTAGGCTAAAGCGCGGATTTTCCGCCCTCAAGTGGGCTTAAAATAACATGATTTGCCACTCCGCAAAGTGGGCTTAAAACTCACATTCGATGAATTGTTCCAATTCAGGCAATCAAGCCTTCACCCACAGGCATTCATGTAGTTAAACACTTAAGCAAATAGCCTCATGGCAAGCATGCTATCATGACAGTCACTTACACATATGCAAGGATGCTAAAGCATAAACACTTACAGTGTACTCCGAGCCAAAACAGAAAACTAGTTAGAAATATGCATGAATCCTAACTATATTAAGATGCCTAATGCAACACATGTAAAAATGCAACTAAAATAGGCTCGGCTATTCTAAGATGGCATATGACTGCAACACTCGATAACATGCTTTGAAACACGTATTCAAGTAAGTATTGAAATTCAATGCAGTTTGAATGATGTGTCAAGCCCGGTGTATGCAATACGAATGAATGATGCACGCATGCAAAGCATAAGTATGCTAATTGAAACATGCTCTAAAACTAACCACTGAAAGCGGGTAAATAAAAGGGAGAAAGAAATGGGGTTAGAAGACATGCATCACACACACGCACACTTATTACAACATTTGCCCTCTCGACGGAGGGTCCGAATGAATATGCTAAGCTACATCCAAGCTAAGCTAATCAACTAATCTAATAATCTAATTAGACTAATTATTACACAACCAAATGAATAAAGAAATAGCTAAGCTAAGCTACTTAATTATTACAACAATTAATTAATTAACAAATTAACTAATCAATTACAAATTCAATGTTAGCTAACAAGTGAAACACCAAACTAAACTATTTCAGCTCTTGTTTGAAGAAGTTGAACATGCATGCATGCATGCATTCGGTTTCTCGCCTCGAAAAGCTCTCTGGTTGCTCTCTTGAGGCTCTGTTTGCAAGGTGTCCTTGAGAACTTACTGTTGAATCTTACCAAATCAGGGCTGAGGAGTGCACCAGTGGCCTGCCGGCCGTGAGGAGCTACTGCCGGCCACCTGCCGGCCAAAGATGGACCACTGTCGGTCATGGAATGATGGAAGGGTGCTGGCCATCACTGTGGCACTACCGGCCACTGGTGTGCTGTGACACCATTCTGCAACAGAGCACAAAAAAAAGGAAATTGAGGGTCTCCCAAGGGTATGTACGTACTATGCCACTCCATATTACCTCAAAACATCAAAAGAGAGGCACCATTGGATCCAAGACCATCAATCAAGCATTACAATGCATGAT